AAGCGTAGCGAGGCTACCCCCCCCCACCCCCCGCAAACGAGCATTTGCTCCAGAGCAAATTTTTAACCCTGTAGCATTCACACGTACCATTTTACATCGGTGCTGCCCTGCAAACGAGCATTTGCTCCGGAGCAAATTTTTAAACCACCTCCCTGAGCAGGGTTAAATTTGCTCCGGTTGAAGCTATTTTCAGGGGCTACACCGGTGTAACTTTGCACATGTGAACGCTCTACTGGGGCTGCCCCGGCGCAGCACCGGAGCAAATGTTGCCGTGTGAACACCCCTTTTGACAACACACACTAGTGAACACTTCCACCTTATAGATCGCAAACTACGTTTATACTGTAACTGCAGTTTTACTTAACTCAGTCCTTCTAAAATAGGGGGAGCGATGTGATGCCAGGGGTGCGCGTGTGACTCTGGGGAACATGCTTTTTTTTTTTTTTTTTTTGCAGAAGTGAATACTGTAGAATAAAGCGTAATTTCACATCCACTAGAGCAGTGTTTTTCAGCGCGAGACATTGTCAGGTGTGTCGCGGAAAATATCCCATTTGTATGCTTGTGCGGTCTATCGTCCGGCAAAGTAATCGTATAGTACCCTCCCATACCGCTAGGGAGCAGCAACAGCTAGCCAATTGCCTTGTGTTTCGGCCACTAAAGACAAGCGAATTTGTGCCGCATGAATACAGGACGACAGTGAAACAATAAATGTGAAAGATTATAAAATGCTTTTTTCTTTGTGTTCATTTGATTCCAATTCAGTCTGTTATAACGTCATTCTTCAATGTTAAAAACGGTTCGAGTAACAATATAGCACGTAAATTGTTAAAATAAGCGTTTTTTTTCCACATTTTCAGCTAGTGGTGTGCCGCGAGATTTTTTCAATGAAAGAAAAAAATTTTGAAAAACACTGCACTAGAGCAGTTGGCAGTGGTGCCCTTGTTGTCAGAGAATGCGCAGGGAGTATTAACTCTATAGTGTAGTTCCCTTTTTTTGCACCGAACAGGCGATATGAAGTGCAGTAAATAAACCTTCAAGGAGACAAGATGAGAAGAAAGGCGCAGAGAAACCAAGTACAGTATTTCTTCTTGTTGGGGGAGGGGGGTGCGTAACAGAAAATAATTGAGAAGCACTGACCTAAATGTACACTGGTATCCGTACGCTGGTCAATGCCTACAGCAGACGGCGCTACTGTTCACGACCAATTAATTCATTCGAATCCTCGATCATAACAATAAAATGCGGGGCGTTGCCGATTTAGTGCAATTGGGATGGGAGATAAATTTTAAAAAGCGAAATAACTACATACCGTCTCTTGTTTTGTGGCGATAAAACGATTTCGTCCACAGACTTCCAAACGTGCAACATCTTAACACTCACAAATAAAATACTGTACGCCAATTCGACCACTTACGTTTTTTCAATTGGTTTTCATGACACCGCGTTTCTCCCGTAGCGGTTACGTTCTGTTTACTGAGCTAACTTCTCAGACAAAAAAAGAAATCAGCCACACGTGTTCGGCAACCTAAAAAAAAACATCGGCGGCCACTCTCTCTTAAAGTAAAGTTGCATACGCTTACCCTTTCCACGGAAGCTGGTCAACTTCAGGCGGAGAGCGAAGCGTATATCAATCATAATCGTTGCTTTTTCAGCACAAAGCCATCCAAGCATATTTTAAGCCTGTCTTTATCAGCGGTTGTGCTGCTTCTTCCAAGTCCAACCGCTGAACGCTTCTGCTTCCCTTCCGCTTCTGCGCTTTTTTTCCCCCCATTTGTTTTTCACATCCATGTGACGTCACCGAATACTAACGGCTGCGCGAAACGATCCAAATACTTTTGTTTTCTGTTTACTGAGAATTGTATTCTGACTTGTTCAATAAAGATTATTAAAAAAAAACGATCCAAATACTGTATGAAAATTCATTCAGCAGATCGGATCGATATTTTCGCGATGAATACGATATCGTACTTTCAGTGTCGCTATCTTTTGGGTCTGTTAAATTGCACGTTAATAACCTGCGTAGAGAAGTGAAGTCAGCTCCGAGTGTAAATGCTTTTAAATACAGATTAAATCAAACGTTTCCATAACTTTGATTAAGGTCTCCTAATTAATTAAAAATCTTTTTTCTTTTAGTTATTTAAGAAACCTACTTTTGTTTCTTTATTTTTAAATGTTTTAAAAGTTTCTGTTAATGTGTTTAAATAGTGTCAATGTACACTCTGGTAATTTTGTGAGATACTTTTGTGTTCACTGCTTTTCACTGCAAACATTGTCAACGGTTGCGTTTGTAAATGCTGTTCGGTGGTGTGTCTTTGTGTGAAGCACATTGAGTTGCCTTGTGTGTAAAAGTGCTATACAGTGTCAGGTGGAGCGAGGACATGATTCAAGAGAAAAATAATTGTGTGGTGGAAATGCTTCTTATGATGTTAAAGAGATTTTGGTCTCTTTATAAACACATTGGCTAAACCCCGGTGGAGCGAAAAACGTCGTGGACGAGACTACCATTGAAGTAGAAAAACATATATTTGGACAGAAAAGAAAGGAAAACATACAGATGACAGAAAAACGTGACCGTCCGTCCTCGAGCGTCGTGTCTACTGTATTAGTGATGTGTCGTTCGCGAACGAGCCGGCTCTTAGAGCCGGCTCTTTGAAGTGAACGACA